GACATTAATAAGCCCTTTGCAGTGGATTATGGTGATGGATTTATTTCTATTCAGATCAACTGCACTGAGATGTTCTATATGTTTTAGTAACCATTTTGGAACATGTTCTTTTCTATCACGACATTGCTCACCCTTGAATGGTAGGTTAATGAAGACAGATAGATTTCTTTTTACAGAAGCTGTCTTTTCGAGATGTGGTCTATCCTTACTGTAACAACTGATAAATTTTTCTGGATAACCATTAGCTAATAAAACTAATTGTATATGTCGAAGCTCATTCATCAATGTGTCACTAGTGCATATTTTTCGGGCGCTTGAGAACAAAACAATTCACTAGGGAACGTTTATACAGGATAGGAATAAAACTGATGAAATGAAGATATTGTCCACTCCATATCTGTTTACGAAAAATAGACCGTTTAATCGTTCCATCGTCTCTCCTAGTCATTGAAAATCCAAGAACCCTAATCAATTCCTACAGTAAGAATAGACCACATCTAGAAAAGACAGCTTCTGCACCAAAGAAAGTCATCTGTCTTCATTGACCTACCATTCAAGGGTGAGAAATGTCGTGAACGAAAAGAACATGTTCCAAAATGGTCACTAAGACATAGAGAAAATCTCAGTGCAGCAAGATGCTTGTAATGATCTCGCGAAATTTGTCTTCTGAATGCCTAATTCAAATATATCAAGGGAACTAACTGTTGAAAATTAAAATAACAGAGGTAAATATATTTTAGGAATGAACATGTTTTCTTTAAAACCTTTGATTTATCATGTGAATCATGAAGTGACACCAAAATAAAATGAACAAAATTACATGAACTATGATAAAAATTAGATCACAGACTAAAAAAGATCAGTTTTCGATGTACAATTCAAAAGGGAAAAGCATTTTAACTTCACAGCATTGCAAAGCCATGAAAGCGCTTCGGAAAATTCCTAATGTAACAAATACGAAACGTGATACACATACTGGTGTCGTTGTTGTGAAGAAAAATGTGATTACAAATCGAAAATGGTATCTATTCCTGTTGATAAAAGCCGATTCAGTTGTGATCCGTCTTCAGACGATATTCACTTGTTGCAAGTCAAAGTGACAGCCAATCTAGTTGCGCTTTTTGGCCTATATGCTTTGAGATAAGATGCATTTTACCCTTTAAAACCATCAGACATTAAAATCCCATATATGAATGCATCAACCCGGTAATCCTATGATTCCTATATTGCCAAAGTGTAGGTCACCAGCGCATAAACCTATTCAATGGTTTATGGAATTATTGGACCCTTTTAAAAGACAAGTGTGTAGGATACATTCGAAATAAAATTATGTATTCTTTGGATGTGAACTTTTTATTCGCTAATTGACACTTACTCAAAACAACTGATATATTACGTGATTACGTTTCACCACACATCATTTCCTGATTCCGTTTCCGAAATTTTATTTAAAGGGTTTATTATTTCTAAGTACTAATGTTAGGTTTACATTTGAAACCGATTGTTTCTATCAGGTTGAGGGTGTTGCTAAAGAAAATCCGTTGACGCTACTTTTAGCATATATCCATATGTGATACATTGGAAGTTTATCTGAAGATTTAAGTGAAAATGTACAATTTTCTAGAAGATATGTCGATGACATTGTAATCATAATTGATAAGCCTTGTTCTGCCACTTCGATTTTAAATCGAATGAATGAAGTTCAGAATGGCATATCTCTCACATCTGTAGAAGAGGAAGATAATTGTTTATCTTCCCTGGATATATCACGTAGTCGACGGACAGTCTCATGGATCAATAAAATGATCTATTTACGGAAAACCTACCTGGATAGGACAATATCTTAATTATCACAGTTTCTGCCTGGCCTGTTCGGTACAAAAGAGCTTTAGTAAGGTGCCTCTTCAGTAGAATCCAACGAATATGCACTGAAGACACATATGATGCAGAAGAAAGAAAGTTGACACAAACTTTGGTTGATAATAATTATTCAGAGAAGTTCATTAGGAGATCTGAAGTGTCCAGTGGAACACTAGGACCCACTCTCCAACTCGCCGCTAAGAAAGACGTGTATATCGAGCTGTGGTTAAAACGACTTTTAATGCAGCTAAGATTTGAAAATTTGAGAAAGTGAAGCCAATACATCCATGTAAGTCCTTTGAACTTACAAGAGATCATGTGACATCCCACTATATATACAAATTTGAATGTACGTGTGCACATACATACATAGGAATGATTCATTAACCTTTGCAAATTAGGGCTTCAGAAGCGAATGATATCTCCTGAACCCATCATTGGTAAGAAAAGACGGACCAGATCTTCTGTTGCAAAATGTATTGTACAGAGAAGACAATGTTGATATTCACACCTTTATTAAACCTATCTATAAAACGTGTTTGGGGTTTATTCTAAAGTATGTGGAAACTCAAGAAATAAGGAAGTTTAAACCACCTTCACGTGGTTAAAGCAACAATCCGTCATCACACTAAACCGCCTTCCAAGGAAAATTTTGTTTTAATACATACCAGGGCAGATATACTATTACCCTCAACTTCCTTGGTTTAGTTATATCTTTTGTTATTTTGACCTTCAGTACAACCTTCTAACTTAACCCACATCTATTCCTTCATCCCTTGAAGCTATATGATTTCGAAATTATTACATTCCTGTGATAATAACGTGGTGTGTGTGCGTGTAATCAGATTGTTCGAAGTGCATTGCACTGCGAACACGTTACACGACTCAGATAAATCATGTCTTCTTAATGCTTTGTCCACGAAACCGACGGGTACCAATACTCCACGTCTTTACGATCTACCCTAAGTGCACAAACTGCGTCTTCGTCTTGACTCTGTTTTAGAAATGAATTAGATATCTCCATTTCACGGAACAGCAAAGTGGTGAGTGAAGATTCTGAGACATTTGCACATAGAAATCGTGCAACATAGAATTAGTCATTTCTTCGACATTATTTCTAAAATATCTGAGACTAATGTTAGGGATAAAAGAATGTTATCCATGGATGTATCATCCCTATTCACGAATGTACCAACTATGGAAGCTGTAGATTACATTTGTCAAGAAATCACTGAAAGGCAGTGGGACTTGTGAATTCCCTTGAGTAGCCTCAAAGAATTACTCCTTAACTGCACAATGAATGTGCAGTTTGTCTTCAAAAATTCATGCTACCGACAAGTAGACGGAACAGCTATGGATTCGCCATTAGGCGCAATATTAGCTGACTTCTTTCTGCAAAACCTGAAAACGGGAAACTGAAAGACATCATCAATGAGTTTGATATGCATCACCGTTATGTCGATGATATGTTCATCTGAGCTGATGGGAATGTAAATAAAGACGAATTATTGATTAGCTTCAACAACGTCCACCCTTCGCTTACTTTTACTTGTGAATAGGAACAGGATAGTAAACTGCATATTCTGGATATCTTGCTAAGCATGTGAGAAAATGGGTCACTTGGGATATAAGGCTAATTTCACATCTTCCATGTGTATCTACCAATTCAGCTGCTCCTGTGGAGCCAGTTACGTAGGCCGTACAATTAGGCGTGTTTTTCGTCGAATTTCCGAACATCACCCTGTGTGGTTATGTTAAGGACAAGCAAAATCTATTCGCAGCGCTATTCTATCTAGTCTTGTGGATACAGAACACAAGATTGATGTGAACCAGGTTTTCAGAGTTATTAACCGCATACCAAGAAATCTCAGTTTCGCCTTAAGAGTTCAACTACTGAATATTGCTGAGGCTGTTGGGATCCAGATTAAGAAGCTTAATTTGTGCATCCAAAAGAAGTTAGTTCATACATCATCCTTACTGTGACCATTCAGGTTTGAATAATCCTGACTTTTTGTGTAATTTTCATAATTTTAGTTGATATTCTATTCGCTACGATATCTTTATTATTATTATTCTTATAATCTAAGCACTCTAAATGAGCTATGCTTGCATTGATCATACTTGACAAATCGATATTATTTAAAAAACACTAATATTGTTATTGACTACTAATCTAGAATATCCTATGTATATAAACAGATAAATAAGTGTAGAGCCAGAAGAGGAATTTGTCGAAAAGGATATTTTTTGCTCAACTATTATGCTTTATAGATGTCTGAATGAATATTCTCGCTATACCTAGCCAACATATAACTAGTGAACATCTGCCATCGTGGTTTGGAAAAGGACAGACAAAAACAAACCATAGCTCAATTTTGTCACATTTAATTGATAGTGGTCATGTAGTCGAGAAAACAAGAACTTTCAAAGTAATTCATTGTATCCCACCTGATCTTTCCAAAAGACTTTGTGTTCGTCTATTGCACACAGCTGAGACAGGTAATCTCATCAAATCTTCATTAAAATCGTGTTTTATTTATTTCCTTTACAGTCTAGTATTGCGTAATCGGTACATTCGTTTTTACGTGAACATTTGTTTGTTTAATCATGCTGTTTTTCGTTATTCGTGTTATCGTAGACTGCCTCGCTTTTTCATCCTTATCATTGATGAAACCATTATTATTATGACTAACTGTACAATTTGTATTCGACATCTTATCATCCAATAGACAAAACACCATGATTGGTTGATATTTGAATATTTATTTGCAAAGTTATGTATATTAGAGTTACGCCTGATAAGATTTAATTGAAGTCACAATATTCTTCGCTTAAATGTGTTGTTTTAAATTTTATTATGGGAATATTTAATATATTAAATTCATAATGGAAACTAAATGTTTTCGAATGATACAATCTTGTGAACTTCTGGGGTGTACAGTTAAAATACAGAATCAAATCACTGAAATGTCGACGATAGCACAGCGACCAATCAACTTGTGTATGTCTTTATAGCATGTCTCAATATTTGGTATGAAAATTCTGATGAAAATAGACCAATTAAAATTTTGAATGAAACATTATCTTAACCAATCATATTTCTAGTACAGAAAGACAGTAAGGTCAAATACGTCTAGTTGGCGAAATCTTTGTTATTATTTATATTTGGGTGTTTAGAATAATGGTGGGTTGTGGTAGATTGTTCACTGTGTTTCACACGATCTGATTATGATATGGTTGTATTCTCTGAGCTAGATAGTTAATTTGCGAAGCTTTCATCGCCCTACTAGATGAGCTCTTCAGTGCAAAGTCAAAGTTCAAGTCAAAGAAACAATCAGTTCCAATATTAGTAGCCTGGATGGTGTGAAAACACACAAAAATAACCAATCACGTCCAAGGTCACCGGGAGAAATGATTGTTAAACTCGTGGATAAATCTACAAGCTCACTTCAAATTAAAGTATACGCTGAAAATGCCGTCTATTAGGTCGATGAAAGCTTCGCAAGTTAACTATCCAGGTCAGTGAACAAAACCACATTAAAATCATCCACCTGAGCTACAAATCTTCTCCATCACAGAGCTATTCATTGAAAACATCGTATATGCATCAATGTCTTCCTTTTTCTCTTCTTCAATATGAAATACTGGAATTCAGCTTTTCAAAGTCAATCCACTTGTTCGTTCAGTCGTGAGACTTGCAGGAAATGTGAGTTATGAACTTTGAATTTTTATATACTAAATATTACTTTGTTATAACACTTGTGTTTTCATTACGGTTACTGTTATTATTTATTATTTTTATCATTAAAACGCTAACTTAGTATTATAATGAGTACTAAATGATGTACCACGTAAAATCTTATAGTTTGTATGAAGGCTGGGATACGGCACGGACGGCCAGACAGAAACATCCCTCCCCAACAAGTATTTGACTTGAAGTCTATTCCACAAGACAGTAAAGCAGCGTTAGGAGCTATACCCCATGGTTAATGGTAATTAGTACGCCATTTGAATCTTGAATATCCTTGAACACATGTACACCAGAAGTTTTTAAAATATGGGTCTATGCCTACCTGTCTGATTGTCACCACTAGATGCTACCACAAGTCAGTGAATCGAGGTTAGAAAGAAACAACAAACAAATATAGCAGAGCCTCTATTCAGTTGTTACTATGCTCAATGGAACTATAAAGGTTGATTTATCTCCAGTTTTATGTCAATTCATGCCACTGAGTCAGGCCAAACAACTAATCTGAACCATATTGAAATCATTTCAAATGAAATCTATCCTTATTTTTCAAGCATGAGAGATTGAATTTGAAATATAGATTCACCACACCCAATTCCTACTCCCCCTCCTCCCGTTAATCCACGTAGTTATGATTCTTTTTAATTGCTTATTTTCGGTAATTTCACGTTTGGCTTTATAATTTCATAATAGAATTATTAAAGTTAGACATTTCTATACCAATGCGATGAATAGAAGTAAAGCTCAAGCATATATTTGGCCGCTTTATTCATTTAGTTACTATACAAGCTAGAATTACTACCTGCAGAAGACGTATGATGGCGATTGCCTTATACAAAAGCTGAGATTTTATAAATTCGACTTTATTATAAATCTGTTAAAGGTATCAATATTAAATAGCAAAACGTCCATAAAACTAACAACATCGCCTTGATAATCATTCATTCGGCACCACAGATTTATAACTAAAAACAGTTTTTTTGTTCAGCGAGGGAATTTCTTTTCAACGATTTCATTTTCAAGCTGTGCAGTCGTATTTATATTACAGAAAGAGGTTATTAAGTGGCACTAAATAATTGCTCAGTCAATATACATATATATGTGATAAGAATAACGATAATTAAACTGTTACAAGGCGTAGAGTTGAAGTGGATAAATTACAGAATTATTGAAGATTGTTTTATAAGTGGATTGATGTCAAAAATGTTTTGAAAATGTTAAGTGTTGTCTAAAAATTTAAAAAAATTAGGAGTACCATTACGATAAGAATGAAGATGTGAAGTGAAGTGGAAAGAATTGAAGTGGTAAAATAAAATAAAAACTAGAAAGAACATTATTATGACCAAGGTGAAGAAAGGGGTTTGACAAAACGTTTTTGAACACATAATTTAGGTTTCTGTTCATGTATAGCTAAAGCTTCGGCTATGCATAAGTGAAGAAAACGTAAACTTTTGGATCGATTCGATTTTGCCATGTAGATAACTTTGAAAGATGAATCACGTGGGGCTAAATGACCAGACTCTAACAGGTGATCACAAATAGACGACTTCGCAGTTCTACGTTCGCCTTTCATTAACCAAACCGGATAGTGTTCAGCTACACGTTTTCGGAGATTACGCTTACAACGTCCAATATAAACAGCTCCACAAGAGCGGGTAAATGAGTAAATGCACATAGATGTGGACAAAAGCGGTAATCTATCCTTGACGTATTGTCTGATCATATTTCGGCTGGTAAAAACTAGTTGCAGGTCAGCTGCAGGAAAAGTACGTTTAACACATTTAGATAAACGGTTTTTAATCAATTCTGAAATGGTGTCACCTTTGAATGCTAGACTCATAAACAGTTTTTTCTTTGGTACTGTGACTTGTCCAGGGGCGGATTCTTTCTTGATGTTACGTTCAATGAACCTTGTAGGATAACTATTGTTAAGGAGATTTGATCGAAGGTTATCTAGTTCCCTATCGAGTGTCTCTGCAGAGCAGATTTTACGAATCATGGAGCATAAGGAATGAATAAGATTTCTCTTTCTCCCTAAAGGTATCCAACTGTTGAAGTTAGTGTACTGCCCCCCAGTGAATGTTGGCTTTCGGTAAATCGACCTTAACAGCGTTCCATTCTCTCTTCTATCTAGCTTAACATCAAGAAAGTGAAAAGAGGAATTCGACTCTTCTTCGACCGTGAAAAGCAAAGATGGGTGATAAGCATTAAATATTCCAAGAAGTTCGGTAGTTGAAGAGTTTTCGTTAAAGGAAATCATCGACAGTTTGTTTATGTATAAAAGATATATTGATGATACCTTCATTGTATGGGATAAAAACACTTCAACTGCCGAACTTCTTGGAATATTTAATGCTTATCACCCATCTTTGCTTTTCACGATCGAAGAAGAGTCGGATTCTTCGTTTCACTTCCTTGATGTTAAGCTAGATAGAAGAGAGAATGGAACGCTGTTAAGGTCGATTTACCGAAAGCCAACATTCACTGGGGGGCAGTACACTAACTTCAACAGTTGGATACCTTTAGGGAGAAAGAGAAATCTTATTCATTCCTTATGCTCCATGATTCGTAAAATCTGCTCTGCAGAGACACTCGATAGGGAACTAGATAACCTTCGATCAAATCTCCTTAACAATAGTTATCCTACAAGGTTCATTGAACGTAACATCAAGAAAGAATCCGCCCCTGGACAAGTCACAGTACCAAAGAAAAAACTGTTTATGAGTCTAGCATTCAAAGGTGACACCATTTCAGAATTGATTAAAAATCGTTTATCTAAATGTGTTAAACGTACTTTTCCTGCAGCTGACCTGCAACTAGTTTTTACCAGCCGAAATATGATCAGACAATGCGTCAAGGATAGATTACCGCTTTTGTCCACATCTATGTGCATTTACTCATTTACCCGCTCTTGTGGAGCTGTTTATATTGGACGTTGTAAGCGTAATCTCCGAAAACGTGTAGCTGAACACTATCCGGTTTGGTTAATGAAAGGCGAACGTAGAACTGCGAAGTCGTCTATTTGTGATCACCTGTTAGAGTCTGGTCATTTAGCCCCACGTGATTCATCTTTCAAAGTTATCTACATGGCAAAATCGAATCGATCCAAAAGTTTACGTTTTCTTCACTTATGCATAGCCGAAGCTTTAGCTATACATGAACAGAAACCTAAATTATGTGTTCAAAAACGTTTTGTCAAACCCCTTTCTTCACCTTGGTCATAATAATTTTCTTTCTAGTTTTTATTTTATTTTACCACTTCAATTCTTTCCACTTCACTTCACATCTTCATTCTTATCGTAATGGTACTCCTAATTTTTTTAAATTTTTAGACAACACTTAACATTTTCAAAACATTTTTGACATCAATCCACTTATAAAACAATCTTCAATAATTCTGTAATTTATCCACTTCAACTCTACGCCTTGTAACAGTTTAATTATCGTTATTCTTATCACATATATATGTATATTGACTGAGCAATTATTTAGTGCCACTTAATAACCTCTTTCTGTAATATAAATACGACTGCACAGCTTGAAAATGAAATCGTTGAAAAAAAATTCCCTCGCTGAACAAAAAAACTGTTTTTACTTATGAATAAATGGGTATTTTTCATGATTTGAAAGTATAGATTTCTTATATTTTCTTATACTCAAATTTTGTTTGAACATCTAATCAGAATTTGATCTTAACTTATTAACCTTGGTAATATGGATCTCCGGAGTAATGACAATTTTTCGGTTGCAAAGTGCTAAGCGAAGGGTAGGAGCAGTATAAGTCCTGTCTATGCCTCCAGGTAGTCCTTCGTACAGAACTTCACTGGTCGTGTCTCTTTATTAACAACTGTTTCTTTTTAAGGATGATTGCTTTCATTTTATTGTACACACTGTCCATTTGTCTTCTGATAAATCTATTAGGACAACCCATTTTGAGTAGTGTCTTATAAGTTTATTTATTTATACATACATATGGGTGTATAACCTCTTGGTCTCCGAGTGGTATACAGGGTTTTTGAATGGACATCTGCACTATATCCTTTTCACTGTAGTCCCCTCCATCTGGCACCACGTTTACTTATATTTCCTCATATGCCTTCCCCCTCCCCAGACGACCGCTACATGACCCTCGGAAAAACGTCAAACCCCTGTTTTTATTCGGCTGCCGCTCCAGTGCCTCACTTGCGATGTTGCCCAACGGTCTCCTCAGCGTGTGTCCTATTCTTCTTCATTTTATTCAGAATAGTTTTTTTTAAGCAATTTGCTATTGATTGGGTTCGTTGCCTGAATTTTTCGATAATTGCTTCTGACTGGCTATTTGGTTTTTAATAATATGGAACCAATGAAAGAGGTTGCTGACAAAAGTAACCCCCTCCCCAGTGGAAAAGCTTTTCGTGATGCGTTGACTAATTTTCTTTCCCATATCGAAGAACTGACTGACTTGAGAGTTATAATGAAAATCCAAATTGTAGTTCTTTTTACTGAATGCAAAAGTATTCCACACCGATTTCACAGTGTTGATGATGGTGATGGATACAACCTAATTTTTCCAAAGAATGATTGGTACAGACCCTACTTGCATCTAACTTAATCGATTACATGAATGGATATAAAGCTATAAATGTGGTGTATGCTGTCATAAAGACGTAGTTTTTATTTAGATGTATGAAATGTACATTCGCTGTACATCGTAGAAGTAGTTCCTTCGGGAATAGTAACTACGCTTTCAACATCAATCTGCCTTTCGATTATATGCTAGCATACAAATTCCACTGCCTTCATCACGTGTAAATTAGTGTATAGTAATGAGGCAACTCAAAACTACATTTGCTTTCTTTATGCATTAACATCACCTGAATTAGAGGTGAATTCGAAGATGCCGTGCACACTACTTGTTTATGTGTAGCGGTTTTAACAGTCGCCTTAGCCACATTGAATGTTGTATAGCAGGTGGAATT